ATATATATGTTTGTTTTTGTTGTCACTTTTGCTCTGTTATGTTAAGATATAACTTTAGTCTTACAGTTTATAAAAGACTTTAACCCTTATACTCCTTCTGATACATTGAAACAAGGTGTAGTTTAGAGGTGATAGAGTAAAGGAAAAGCAGTGTCTTTGGTGGGATATGAAAATCAGACCTCATCAGAATTATTGTAGAAAATCTAAGAGAGTTGACTAGAAGTAAGAGAACAAGAATGAAAGAGGGCCAAACACTGTCAAATGTAACTGGCAACTTAAACGGGGGAAAAAGAGGCAGGCCCAGAAACCACATATATGATCAAGGGAGGAGACTAGGAGGCGTCTGATGTAATAGAGGCGGACACGGCAGTTCTGAGTAGAGCAGAGCGCTGTGGGGGAAGCTGCAGTATTTTAATGCAAAATATGACACTTGATTTCAGTGATGCTCCTCAATAATAAAAGCTCAGCTGTTGAATTCAGTAAATATTTGTTTAAGGCTAGGTATGTGTAAAGCCAGTGTATAGATTCTGTTAAGAATAAAAGAAGTGGCCTGGCCGGCATGGCTCACTGGTTGAGCGTTGACTTATGAACTAGTTACTAGTTACTGTGTCACAGTTCAGTTCCTGACCAGGGCACATGCCTAGGTTGTGGTCTCAATCCCCAGTGTGGGGTGTGCAGGAGATAGATGATCAATGGTTCTCTTTCATCATTGATGCTTCTATCTCCCTCTCTCTCTCCTTCCTCTCTGAAATCAATAAAAACATGTTTTTAAAATAGAATAGAAAAATCAGTGAGACATGGTTCTGGTATTTAACTGAAATCAAACTTTCGAATAGCAAGAATAAGACAGACACAACCATAAGTTATGGTATGGTTTTTAGAGCAAAAGGTAAACTATTAAAGAGGGGGAGAGAAGAGCATCTGGACATGGGTGGTGACTTGCATAGAGTTATGGGCATCACCATCCATGTTTGGGAACAGGCCAGTTTATTTGCACTGTGGAGTGAGGTGTAGCTGTTGTGGGTCAGTAAGCAAGAAATGGCACCCGAAGGCAGGTGGATTGAAATGAGGCTATAGCAGCCCCTCCCTCTGTCAAGGCACGGGTAAGCTTATGGCTGCAGTTCAAATATTTTTCTACAAAATCAATTGGTCCTTGTCCGCAAGTTCTAAAAATCCACACGTATTAAAAAAAAACACCTCAGAACTAATAACAGCTAAGACATAAATGGTGGGCAGTTTGGAGGAGGGATAGATGATGAGCTGCAGTTTGGACATGGGGGTTGAGAGTGCTTTAGAGACCATGATAGACACGTCCACTTGGCAGTCTAATTTGGAGGTCTGAGAATCAGCCAGGAGGACTGTGCTGAAAATTTAAACCTGATGTTCTGTATTGCTGAAGATTTAAGAGGCACAAAATCTGAAATGACATTGTTTTGGGTAACCATAAGACAGATGTTATAATAATTAGTAATAGGTGTTGTATCTCAGTTGTTGACTCCTGAAATATAACTAAATGTAACTAAAAAGAAATTGATGCCTCATAGACCCCTGTTTCTAAGGGGAACCATTTTTCATGTGTGCCCTATTTGTTATTCCGCTTCTTTGCTTCCTTTCCACCTGTTTTGTCCCACGTCATTTTTTGAAGTGAGAAATTTGGGGAATGGATTCTTAATGTAGGTGTTTTGGAATACAGAAGTATGTATCACATAGTTTTATTCTAATTCTTATTTGTGACTGAAATAGAACCTTTATGGGTATAAACATAGACTTCTATAGTATTTACCAACTCCAGATTTCCTGTATTCTCTGTTTAAGAAACAGAGAATACAGGGAGAAATTATATTTGTGTTGAATGATTACTAGGCTCAAAACTCAATGTTGATAGAATTTACTTAGCCATTACTCTTTCTGAGTTAGAATGGATAAATGCAACTTCTGGGCAGAATTATCTTAAAACCTTTTTTTAAACGAAGTCTGATAAGGTTATAGATTAAAAATAGGAAATTCTGTAAGGACTTATGTGGAATACATGGTTTTCCCCCCCCTTTGCTGCCTAACTGTCCCCTGCCCCCCAACTTCCTACTCTTGAAGAGATTCTTTGGTATTTATTCTCTGTTACTGCACTATGTACTTACTGTGGGGTGTGTGTGTGTGTGTGTGTGTGTGTTTACATTCCACACAGAAAGGTCTTCCCATCACTTGCCCCCAGCTTATGGGCTGGCAGCCTTCCCTGGGGGTGGAGCGACAGAGAAGACAGGACACCTCAGACTTCAGTATAGAAAGGACCTCATCAGCTGCCCCTCACACCCCGTTTCAGAAAGTGCACCTGTTCAGGAGTGTTTCTAGTGTTTGGCTGGGAGCTAGGGAGTGCTCGGCCACCAGCTATTTGGGGACAGGGATGTAGAGATTCACCGTCTTGTCTATAAGTGTTTGTTCTTTCAACAGCTTTTAAAAACTGTAAGCAAAACTTTCTTCTGAAGCAAGCATTAGGATAAGTATTTTAATCGGCACTTAAATTGTTGAATTGAGTTTACATTTACCTAGGTGTTCTACAACTCATAAATGTATTCCTTTAATAAAGCACAATGTAAAGTTATACTGCAGCTCTGTTCCTTGTTCCTGTTATGTAAGCCCTTCCCTTTTAAATCCTCCGGCTTTTGTCTGCCCATGTATAAAAGTTTTGTGGAAAGTCACTTATAATTTTAGTTGTCATTTTTAGGCCTTTCTAAAATATTTTGATGTAAGAATATTCCTCATCATCTTATGTTATTATCTTTATGCATTACTGTCTCTGTTTCTAATAATTACAGCATCTGTGTTCAAGGTTGGTTTTGATTGATTTTTTTTTTCCATCAGATGTTACAATTTTCTGCTTCTTTTGTTTGCCTATTAATTTCTGATTAGGTGCCAGATAGTGTGAATATTACTTTTGGGGGCAGTTATTTGTATGTCTAAGTGTTCTTGATCTTTGTTCTGGGGTATTAACTATTGCTGTTGCCCGAGAAATACCCCCATGTTAGGCCTGTGAGTGACTGGTGGCTCCGGGCTCACTCTTTGGAGTCATGTTGATGGCCTTGCACGGGCTGCTGCGTTTTGTCTGGTTTCTCATTCCCCGCACAACATTTGGGATGCATTTCCATAGTAATGTTATGAACAGAAAGTAAAGACAGAAGCATATTATTTCATTTTTACAACTTATTTCTATTCTTATTGACTAAGCTACATAGGTTTTTTTCTCGCATGGCCTCTGCAAACATGTGAGTTGTAATAAACAGCTGCTTTCATTATACCAGTTTTGTTCATTTACACCAGTTTTATTTTCTTTGATTACAATTTCACAATTTAGTACCTGCAAGAGGCAATTAGTTATTGCTTATATGGCACCTTGCACTAAGCCAGGTGCATCTCTTTATACCACTTTTATATTTAAAATACATTTCTATTTTGTTTGATATTAAAATTGTATGTATATATTACAAATGATGTATACGTGTATTTATATTTCTCTAAAATGTCATAAAGAAGCAGTTCTGAAATTGTTGTATCTTGGGTGAAAGGGAAATGTGGCAGCCCTCCCTACACCTCTTCGTAGCTCACAGCGCTGCCCCCTGGAGAAGAGGCCTCCTGAGTGACGAGCGCTCCAGGGAAGGAGACTAGATGTTCTCTGTTTAACTAGCACTTGTGGGTGGGTGTCATTGAAGAATAACCTGACAGCTCACTGTTTTTACAGTAAGCTAATGATGGAAACATAGTTTATTACTGTAATAACGAAATATTTCCATAAACACTACTTGAAATACTTAAAACAAATGGCATTTCTCTTATACAATGTCTATTTGCAAAACATTTTCCCTAATCTTGAATTCAGTCAATGCTATTAAAAAGTAATTGTAAAAACTTCTCTGAATTTGAGTTTTTCTAACTTTGAGCTCCTAAATTGGCAAGTTACCAGCTATGTGACCCTGACAATGACTCACTTAAATTTATCCCAGTGACCTGGTTTTATAAGCAAAATATAGAAATAACAACATGTTTTTCATATTAACCGAAGGCTGACACCATAAATGAGTTTCTTAGTGCACATAAGAGCACACAGGGGTTCTGGTGGCTCGCTCACTGTTGAATCCTAAGCAGTCGGCTCCATGGTACAGAGTAGGTGCTCAACAAATGTTTGTTGACTATCATTTGATCCACTGGGCTTCCACACAGGTTTTTTGCCAGGAAAATAACTAAAAATATTTATAATGTCATCATAGAAAAACAATGTAAACCTATCTTAAATAACTGCCAACAGATTAGTATTATGAAAAGTATACTTACTTTCTTGAAAAGAAACATGTCATGTTTTACTTTGTACATTTTTTAGGAGGAGCAAAATAGAGGCAAGCCCAATTGGGAGCACCTCAACGAAGACTTGCACGTCCTGATTACTGTGGAAGACGCTCAGAACAGAGCAGAGATCAAACTGAAGAGAGCCGTTGAGGAAGTGAAGAAGTTACTGGTCCCCGCGGTAAGTAGTCATCCCCCTTTCCAGTTTAATTTTAAATTGTTGTAAGATTATAGTAATGAACAGGCATTGTTAGAGATTTTATTTAAATAAAAATACAAAAATTATAACTCCTTTACTATAATACAGTAGACAACATAGGCACGAGTCAGATCTGTAAATGCAAAAGCCTGTTTGTTAGAGTTGTGAAGGGAGCGAGGTGAATCGGTGGCCTACTTTTCAGAAGTTTTATTAACCTTTGTATCCCTCTGTCAGGGGTAAGACGTCAGGAGGGAAATGAGAGCGTCTTTTTTTTAGTGGGACCATTTTTCTGTAAGCAGGTAATGAGTGCACAGAGTCTACAGCTGACACTTACGTTGGGTGAGCTGTGTGAGTAGGGGCACATATTGGACTTGCCTGTGGGTCCCAAGTACTCTTCCTGGCACATCGTTGTCTACGTGGAGGAATTGTCGCGTGCGCTGATAGAATGGCCTTTAGGAAAACAAGAGCTCACTCTTACTGGTGTGCCAGGCACCTTTGTGTTCTCATCCTCCCTCCCTCCCTGTCCTTCTCACTTTCCCCGTCTATTTCTCTCTACTCCCTTCTCCCTTTTGTCATTTCCTCGTTGTTACAGAAACCTATAGTAGCTTTATAATTTCTAAAAAATCTTTATTGCTGAAAGTATTACATATGTCCCTCTTTTTCCCCATTGGGCCATTTCTAGCCCACCCCCGGTCCCCACCCCAAGCATTCACCACCCTATACTCCTTTAAATTTTTTATTTATCTTTGTTGTTGAAAGTATTACAGATGTCCCCTTTGTTTTTCTTTTTCCTCCCCCTCCACACTCCCTCCTCCTGCACCCACCCCTCCTAGGCCTTCACCAGATTGTCATCTGTGTCCATGGGCCTGTAGTCACTTTAGCAATGATGATTGAGTTACCAGAGTACCATCTTCTTCAATGGAAAATAAAAAATACATTATTGGTTTTCTAAGACGTTATTATAATTTTTTACATTAGTAAAATATATGGAAATGTGGACCCTAACGTGCTATTGAAAAAACTAGGAATAATGTTAGTATTCTATCCAACAGAAATTTGTTGACATTTACATAAATGAGGAGAATGCTGGCTGTTCTCTATTTCCCAGGTAGTTTCTTCTACAAGTAAACTTACAAAACAAAAACATTTCTATTTACTTGACAAAATTGTCTCCTTGAAAGAAAAGAATTCCATGTAAATTCTGTTTGATAGGTTTTATAAGGAATATAAACTAAAATCTATAATTGTACACTTATGCCATATAATTTCTCTTCTTTTAAAAAATAATTGTGCAGTATTGAAGAAATTTATAGAAAAGGGTTTTCTTCCCCTAGGCATACTGGTCTATTAGTCCTATGATCAGAACAAGTTACTTAACATTAGGCCTTTTTTTGCTACATATAACTGAAAATAGTTAGCTCATATCACATACTAAACAAATGATTTCGCCTAATATATTAAGTAGACCACCCTAATATATTATTCTAATCATGCTGTAAGCTACTTTAATTCTAAATATTATTAACGTGGGAAAGAACATTCAATTGGAAACCTGTTACTAACTATTATGTGTCTTTCAGAAAGTAAGTAAACTTCTCTCTGTTTTCTTATTTATAAAATGAGAATTGGAGCAAATGTCCTCTAAGGACCATTTTGGTTTTAAAATTATTTGTCTTTGAATATTAAATGATGTACTGAAGCTTTTTTAAAAACTCATACAATTTATATTTTAAAGAAAAATGGCACTTTATTTGAAATTCAAATTCCATTGTTCATTAACAAATGATACTGAAACACAGCCATGCTTTTCATGTACACATTGTCTGTGGCTGCGTTTGCGTTTCCACGGAGGAGCCGCGTAACTGCACCACAGACCATATGCCCAGAAAAGCCATCTACTGTCTGGCTCTTTAAAAAGCTTGCCAATTTCTGGACTGTTCATTAATCCAGATGACAGATGATAATGAGTGGAACCAAGGTAGCCATAGTGGTGAAGGTGTGAGGCATGGTCTGATGCTAAGTACATTTTTAAAGTGACTCAGGCCTGCGAAATCATTTGGTCTGGCCCTGCCAAGGCGTTTGGGGTGAGTTAATTAAATGTTTGATCAAATATAGCAGGCTAATTTTTAATTTAATAATTTGTATGGCCCACAATGATGTTATAAATATTCAAATGGCCCTGGGCAGGAAAAAGGTTCCCACCCTGGAATATGGGATATTAGAAAGCATTGAGTCAAGAAGGAGGTCAAGGTTTTTAGCCTGAACAACTGGAAGGATAGAATGCTGTTGCCTTGTTGAAGATGATATTAGTAGGAACAGACTTGGAAGGAATTATCAGGAGTTAACCATTTGAGATGCTTGTTGCCTGTCCAAGTGTAGCTATTCGAGTGTTATTATTCCAGGTTGACAGTGTTTTAGGTTGATAGAGTACAGAAAATCATTTAAGGTAAGATTCTTAGAGCAGTTGGCATTTCCCTGTGTTCTGTGAGACACTTTTCATCGGTATTCTGAGTAAAGGAAGTTTTAATATGCTAGTAAGCATTGCGAACCTCTGGTAGGAACCATTTCCACATTTAATTGGCCATCAAAATTTCTGGGAATAAATTCACATTTAGTGTTCTACAGATGATCTGGGAAATAATATGGAAACTCCTAGGTCTGATTTAAATACAATTTGAGCTATGTTTTTTTAAAATGCTAATGGAGTTATTTTGAAGACATGAAGAAAGAAAACTCTTCTTGAGGTTCCCCCCCCCCATTCCTTTTTAAACATACAACGGAACACATTCATTTTAAGTGTACAGATTGAGTTTGAAACTATATACACTTATAATCCCTACCTCAATCAAGATTTCCTATCACCTGTTTTCTTACTCTACCATCAATTAACCACCTCTCTCCCGCTGCCCCCAGACAGATACTGGGGTTAATTTTGCCTCAAAACTATATTTTTATTTTAGTTTTATTGACACATGATTGCAAAAATTGTACACATGATGGTTTGACATACATAGAAATTGTGAAATTATCACAGTTAAGTTAACCACATCCGTTACCTCACAATGACCAGTTTTTAAGATCTTCTCTCATAGCATTTCAAGAATACAACACAGTATTATTAACTGCTACCACCATGCTGTACATTATTAGTTCCTCATAATTTATTCATCATATAATTGACGGACATCTCCCCATTCCCCTTTCTCTCACCTCCCAGCCACTACCTTTCTGCTTTCTCTGGTTGTTCAACTTTTTTATATATTCGGTTTACTTTTTCTAATTTCATGTAGATGAAAATTATTTTCTGCCTGTCTTCTTGGAATAAGCATGGATTTTTTGAGGTTCCTCCGTGCTGTTGCATGTTTCTTTGTGTTGATAATTAGTATTCCATAGAATAAAGAGGCACAGTTTATTGATCCTTTCGCCTGTTGTGGTTTTATTTTCCATTTCTCTGCAGACAAATGATGTTGAGCATCTTCCCATGTCCTTTTTGGCAATTGGTGTTTCTTTAATGAAGTATCTGTTTAAATCTATTTTATTGTCTTCTCTCATACTGAGTTATAACAGATATTTGTAGATTTGGGTAATAAATCTTTTATCAGACAACTATTCTAATCTGTGGCTTATCTTTTGTGCTTTTTGTGGAAAGGCTTTTAATTACTAATTCAATTTATTTGTAAAATATAGAACTCTTAAATTTTTTTCCTGTTTTTCTGTTTTTTTCAAGGCACTTATTCATGTCATCTAAGTTGATGAGATTTCTGCCATGAAATTGTTCATAATATTACCTTTTTATCTTTAAGGTCTGTAGGATCTATAAAAGGTTTCTTCTCCTCCTTCTTCTGCTTCTTGTCATTCTAGCTCTAGAGCTTCATTAATTTTATGGATCATTTCTAAGTATCAACTTTTGTTTCTGTTGATATTCTTTATTTGTTCTTTTTTATTTTATTGATTTCTCCTTTTACACTTTCTTTCTACCTCATTTGGTTTCATATGATTTTCACTCATCACACAGATAGAAGATTAGTGATCTAAAACCTTTCATTTCTACTTTTGAGAACTCTTTTAAAGGCATAAATTTTTATTTGAAAACTGCTTTAGCTGCATCACCAAAATAATATTATATTGTAATTTCATTACCATTTAGTTCAAAATATTTTCTAATTTCCATGATTTTTTTCTTTGACCCATGGGTTATTTCCAAATATTTGGGACTTATCTATTATCTTACTATGACTGATTTCTAATTTAATTTTGTTCTCAGAAATTATAATCTATAATATTTCAGCCCTTTTAATCTATTTAGGACTTATTTATAGTCTAGCATATGGTCTGTTTTGTTGAATGTCTCATGTACATTTAAAAGCATGTGCATTCTATAGTAGTTGGCTATGTGCTGTATAGGTGTCAGTTAGGTGAAGGTGGTTGAAAATGTTGTTCAGGTCTTCTCTCTCTTTTTTTTTTTTTTAACGTTTTCCCCCCTCCTAACTTTGTTAATTACTGAAAAGAGTCTAAAGATCTCCATTCATTCATTGTAAAAATGCACACACTAGTGTGTTCTCCTTGATCTCACTGAAATGGCAAACTAATTTGGTATACGCACACTCATTCCCAAGTGTATATCCGTGTATAAATAGCTTAAACAACCTACATGGCCAGGGTTTGGCATCATTAAGAGATTTCACTTGTTTTTTATATAATGGCAACTTTGGTGAGACTTGAGCTGGATGATCAATATACAGATTCATGGAGACAAATTTAGTGTACTTATGCATTTTAGGGTTGGCGAGTTGTGCATTTCAGGTTATTAAAAGAGATGATAAATACAGTAGGATTATATAAATCATGGTCAGGGACTGTCACTTTCCTTATTTGTAAAATTGAGTTATTATTGCTTACTTGCCTTAGAAGTCCTTGGGAAGGTCATAATTATTTATGTGGAAGTACAGGACGCATGTTTCATCTTTTCTTCTCTTGTACAT